CATTAATAGGTTCTAATTCATGGTTTATTTTTGAATTAGCTTTACTATTCTGGGACCTGTTTAAAAGTAATGGATATAAATGTAAAAAAACAATATCCATATTCTTCTGTATCTTACTCTGTCAGAGGCAGAAATCAATCTCTGCTTCTTAGCTCAAACCTTTGATAATAATACAACATAGACATAAAAGTGACTTGATCTCTTACTGCTTTCCTGTCTCTGTCTAGTTTTCCATCTGGAAAAATATTTAATAATTTTCAAAACAGCTGAAAGTCTCCCTTGATTCCCTTCTACAGGTGCGAGAACTTACAGATGAACTTGTCAGACTGAAATATCCTGGTGCTGCTATCAAAAAAATTCATCTGATGCAGCAAAGTGCCAAACTCTTTTGGCTACACATAGGGAGAAGCATTTGTATTTTTCTTGTGAGTGTATAAGGGATTATTGGCCCAGGTTTGAGAACCTGGCAGTGAGAATTTCTATATTCTGGATAAATGTCAAAATAGAAGCAAATGTCTATACAACATAGTGTAGATTCCTAGTTACTGCTGCTGGCTTCTCTGAAGCTCATTTTATTTCACTATGACCTAGAAATGATTCCAACAATAATCTAATGCCTTCCCCCGCTCCACATGTGCACCGGGAATGCAAATGAAACTGTTTGCTTTCTCTGACCATACCCCATGCATAAGCTTTTATCTCATGGTCCATCATGCATGAATCAAATTCTGTGTGGGAAAAATATCCAGTGCAAATGACTTTAAAACCAGACATTTATATTCATTTAAGAAATTCCTGTTGAATGTTTATGTGTTGGATTTGCTGTGTTGTGACTTATTAGCAGCAATACACTCAAACTTCAGAGGAGAAACTCTTGATATACCTAGAGCTGCACAGATGTCTGCTAAAAACAGTATTGTTACTACTAGTAACAGACAACAAACTTAATACTGATCATACAAAGTCTCCATCCTGGCCTAGAATCATCAAATCATGGAACATCCTGAGTTGGCAGGATCATGGAATCCAGCTTCTGGGTCTATTGTGTGCTTGTATCAACTTATTTGGACTTGCTGTGTGAGTCAAGAGCTTGATCCAAAGTGTCTCCTATAATGATGTGGTGTTTATATGTGGGGAAATTACAAAGGCCTTGAAAATACGATCCAAGGATGGAAACAGGTCTCAAGAAAATCAGTAACTCCCTGATAGTCAAGCATTGCACACTGAGAGTGTTCTTAAAGCTAGGAGATAACAAGAGAACAAATGCAGCAGTTAAACCAGAAAATGTAACTGAGCAATAGGACAAGGCACCTGGTGCAGCTTGGGAAAGCAACATCTTCAATCATCAGGCAGAATGTGGATAAGTGGATGGAAGAGTCCAGAAGCTGAAACACATTATGGAGAGACAAGACTTCAAAGGATGTGGGAAATGATTCTCCCTGGAGAGGGGGCTGCCTACTCTGTCCGACTGCTTGTAGGATCCTGGGGTTCCTTCCGTCTCTGTCTGCCTTCTGGCTCCTTCTGGCTCTGGCTCTGTCAGGAGCCCTGGCTCTTTGTGGTTGCTTTTGACCTGCAGTTGATTATCTGGGGCTGTGTACAGCAGCGCTGTGGTACACCTGCACCTCAATGTGTTTTTTTCCACAGATTCTGCTCTGTAATGATCTAACCCCTCAACAGAGCATTGCTGCATTTAAAGTTCATTCTCCTAGTTACTGTTAGCCATTATTTGGGTCCACACAAGGGAAACAGCAGTGGTGGGAGTATGTGCATAGTGCTATTGAAAACACATGTACTGTATGTTTTCTTCTTTTATTTTAATAAACTCCAAGAGTTGTCTTTGCCACTATGACAGGGACTTCTAAGAGCTTGGTTCTAACTTGTCTATGCCACCAGCTCTGTAAGGTTTATCCTGAATGCTGATTTGATTAAGAGTCTGGAAAAGATCAGCACTGAAAAGAAAGACAATATGGCTAAACATATTGGCACAAACCTTTCAGTAGGGATGATAGAGCTGTGAAACATCATTTCTCAATTTTTAGTTGGTATTTTGTGTGTGTGTTGTGTTGTACTTGTGTCACCACCCAGCAGTATCTAATTAAAACCAGTGCTCACACAGAAAAAGTATCTCTGATTTCCTTAAAAGGAATTCTGTGTTCTGAGACACCAGACAGTTTTGGAACCGCAATTTTTTTAATGCAAAATGAGATTTGTAAATAAGTAATTTGTATAAAGGAGACAAAACCTTCCAATTTGAAAAAATAATTTCATAAGGAAGTATTTTAAAATTTTTAAAAATAATACATTGTTTTAAAACTTTCATAAGAGTGAAAACAGTTTGGATGGCTACAATGCAAATTATTAAGATTAATATCTGACTACTTCAGTAGCTGTGAACAGTGGGCATTTTTCCAGATGGACAATGTAGCAGATTTGGCATGTGTCTAATAAAAGGAAGTCATGAATAAATCTGAATAGCAGTTGTGGTAGAAATCTAAAGAGCAGGAAGAATAACTTTATTAATAGTTTGGGTTCACAGTTTTAAAACTTTGTAAGTTGGACAAAGGATTTGCTTTCCAATAATGTCCTATGCACTGTGACCATCTCTGTTCATATTAAAAAAAAAAATCCACAGAGAAATTCAAATTTATAGAACATCTTTTTGCCAGATTCTATTATTTCATTAGAAACAAAGACTTTACCTCCCCATGGCTCCTGTCTGGATAAAATTTGGATCAGACAGATGAGTAATCCTCATTTGTAGCAGTCTTGGTGTTGTGATTATAAAAGTACAACCAGGTAGTACAACCAGGTGACCCACCATTCAAGATCAGACAAAAAAAAAAGAAAAAAAAAGAGAAAAAAAAAAAAGAAAAAGAAAATGAAAATGGTAGATCTACTTGTTCTATAATGGGTCAGTTCAAAAGAGATTCTGTTGTTCCACTCATGCTGGAAATTTTTTATGCAGGTGATAACACTACAGAGACATTTGGTTTAATTTACAGTTAGTTTCTTGGCTGCTAATGAAAGGCATATGTAAATATTGAAGATTATTTTCTGCTTTATGAAGCTGACATGACATTTGTGCCATATACAATATGCTTTCTACCTAGCTGTTTTGAATTTCTATCAACCATTCCCATGCTATGTGGCTTGTTGGCAGAGAGCTTAAGCAATGTGGTAAAACAATCATGTTCAATACCTAGGTACCAAAACCAGAGAAGTGCAGTCCAAATTTCTTATGTTCAAGTATGGAAAAAGTGTGTGGCATTGTATACTCGAGTGTCTTCTAGCAAGATTGTGGTTTGGCTTCTACTTCCTCTTACGGCTGGCTCAGCCTTCTGATTTTGAGATTGCATTTAAAAATAGTTTTTACTATATTTTAATTAGGTTGGTTAAAGATGTTTTTACTTTGTGCTTGAACTTTTAGGTGGGCTTTTTTTTTTATAATAGTTGTACATTTTAGTTTCTCAGCATTTAGTTTAGCTTGCGTACTATTAAGAATGTTGGTTTCCAACAGCCAGGCCAAGTTTCCAAAAGTGTTTGATAGTTTCATGTGACACAATTTTTGGGTGACCTATCTGAGATACTTTATTCTCAGAAACATTTAGGGCTCTTAGCTGCTCTTGAAACCAAGTATTAAGGAAATGTGTTAGACACAAGTTTGCCAGCTCTTTCTGGATGTCCGAGGGGTTCCTTTAATTTGTTGCTAAACAATAACCTACTCCAAATCCTGTTCCGTGACTCTGTGACAGTGATTCCGAGATCCTGATAATACTTGACTACTTATGAAGCTCCCAAAGATTCATTTTTATGTCAATGGATCATCTCAGCAAATACAGAAGACTCATTGTTCAATTTTCTCCTCATCCTTTTATTTTTTCTTTCATGTGTGCACCTACTCCCACCTCCGTGCATATCTACTAGAGATCAGTAGACACTGAACTATTAACTGTAACTTAGATTATGGAACAGAAACTTGCTTTTAAAATTCATTGCCAGCAGAAGTAAGGAATGTGCCAACATTGGGGACTTTAAAATCTAAATTTAGGAGCTACTTATTTCATTCACCATTTTTAAAATATTTGTTTTGGGTCTAGCCTGTGGCTTGGCAGTTGCATGTGGCATGCTTCAGTGTGAGGAAATCGAATCTCAGAAAGGCTAAAATTTACTGGATCCTCAGAATTCAGTTTAAAAACTGAACTTGGGTTCTAATTTAGGATCTCAATTTTGCTCCTTTCTTGGATTGCAAAGAGCTCATACAAGCCTGGGGTGTGGGGACAGTCCTGGAGAGTGGCTTCTCTTAGGAAAGCCACCTTTTTCTTCTGAAGTAAGAAATGCTTTTCCAGAGTGTGTTAATCCTCACCTGTGGTCAGTTTTCTTGACAGCACATGGAATGTGCTTTTGAATTTGGTTTTGGCTAACTTGGACTGAATGTGCAAAAGAAGGGGGAGGCAGAAGAAAGGTGGGAAACTGCTTTCTGGGTAATTCAGAAACAACCAAAACTTCCTACATCAACCAACCCACCTCCTTTATTGTGAGCAACTGCTGTATTAGGAACAGAAATGTGTAAAAGGGACACTATAAGATTAAATACAAAAGCTATTAAAATAAGTTGTTAGAGGACACACTAAGATGATAACAAAATGACAAGATATTTAATAGATGGTTTTGAGCACAGTAAAACAGCAGTACTGAACCCATCTCTTCATATATACTTAATGCTACAAATAGTGATATATATATACTTAATGCTACAAATAGTGATATATATGACATCAAAAATTCTTTAACACTCAACATACAGTGTATCTTACATAATATTACTCCTACTGTAATTGTATTAAATGTACTACATTTTAATACAATATACAATACTAAATTGTATTAAATGTACTACATTTAATACAATTATACTACATTTTAATACAATTCTGACTGACATGAGTTCTGTTCTTATGCTACTGACTTTCCTTTTGATCTTTCTCCTAAACTTTTGACTTTCCTTTTGATCTTTCTCCTAAACTTTTGGAAGTCAGTTCAATATATTGGGTTATATGCCCTTCATGAGGCTTTGCTGAGCAGTTGGAATAAGGAATAAGATATGTCAGTGATCATGGGTGGATGGGACAATGGTGTCGATCTGTCCTGACAGAAGCTGAAATAGCCCAGGAAATGGAAGCAATTTGCAGAGTTTCAAAATGATGAAATGTTTTTTATATTTTATACAATGTACAATGTGCAGTTTTATACAATGCTATTGTAATGCTTAGCACATGTTCCGTGATTGTCCGCATTCACATCAGAGTGTATCAGTGGCTAGGAAGGAAGCATAAGCTTGTTTTCATTAGGCTTTGAAATGGTTTATTCCCAGGATGCTGTCAGGTTTTAATACAATGAAAAGGTAGTAGTCAGCTCTCCTGGAACACACTGATCTCTTAGGTGAAAACAGGACATCTGGAAGGGGAACATCTGAACAAGGAGCAGGTGCTGTTTAGCTGATGCAGCAGGATTTTGCTGGTCAATAGAGGCCTTGACACACTTCCCTCCTGGGCTGTTGGGTTATGGCCTTGCTGCCGGATGCCACCAGATAACGTCACTCTTGGCTCTAGCTGGAGATAAGAGTAAGAAGTCTGACAAAACCCATGAGGAGCTGGGTGCATGAGGGGGAGGGGAAGACATGACCAACCAGGCTACATTAACAACAATCCTCAAGAAATCCAACCCAAACCAAAACCCTTCATCAGGGAAGGTATGATTATCACTTTCTTAAATTCATGGTCTGTGAATCCATAGTACAGAATTAATTGCATGATATTTTTTACCAAGGACATTTTCACATACTTCTGGAATTATTATCTTTTTTTAAAAGAACCCACTCTTTAATAGCTGTGGTTTTCTAAACAGAGTCATATTGAAAATTGAATTGACAGGTCTTGATTCTCTTCCTGAAGTCATCACCCATGTTCTAGAGGGAATTTCTACAGTTTGGCTAAACATTAGGCATTAAATATTTAATACAGAAGAGAAGCAATTCAGAAATACTTGGAAACAATCTTGTACCTTATAGCAATTATGATGTCCCTGAGCTACCCTTAAACAAAGAGCTTTGTTCTTTTAAAGCAATTACCAGAAATTTTTAAAAAACAAAACCAAGAGAAAAAACAATGCAACACAAGAGCAAACCTAATGCCAGTAAAATTTAAAAGGGCACACTTTTCTCCAGAAAGTTTCTGGTTTAAGCACTATATGAGTATCTGGTTACATCTTACATGTAAGATACATTGCAAAAGGAATGGCAAGTTTGGAAGCCATTTCTTGAACTTCTAAAAAATATTTTTCTCTCACATATCAAATAACACAGGAAAAATAACACTATGCATGAGCATAATTTGTTTGCTCAGAAATAGAAGACATTTAGGTGTTTTTGTTTTATAAATACACCTAAGGTGAAATCACGGACAGATTTTGGTGCTGCGGGAAAGGAATGTGTCAGTGGAGAGAAACAAAGGGAGAGATTAAATAGTTAAAGCTAAAGTGGTCAGTAAAGCTGTTGTCTGAATAGCAATCCCATGAGGTTTTTCATTTGGTCAGGAAATATAGCTGAAGAAGGAGTCTGGGAGTCAAGTACAGCTAAATGTCTACTTGAATTTGGGGGTGTAAATATTTGCAAGACCAAGACCTTAATGGTTTCTTTATTAAACTGATTGTTATTTTGCTTATATTACACATCTGATCATTGAAGTTCCAATAGGAAATTAAAATCATTCAATTTGACTTGTTAGATTCAGATATATGCATATACACATTTATCCAAACCTTCATGTTTTTGAAATTATATTCAAAAATTCATATTCATCCAAAATTATGTTATTGGGGAGCAAAATGATCAACTTACTTTTTTCAGGGCTGGGTAGGTTATAATTCAGGTTTACTGAATAGTCTTATTCAGTCTGTTTCCATGGTATAAAAGTTGCCTGTTTTTGATTGTTTTGGTTCAGGTTTGTCTGTGTAGTCAAGTGAAGTTAATTATGTAGAAACATTAACTTTTGCAGTGCTGACAGTACAATTCTGAATTCCCGCCTCACATGCCAACATTATCTCCATATTATTATAATTTCCTCATGTTTTCTAATCTGCTTAGCACTCTATTTCATCTATTTGAACATGAGGTAGATATCCAATTATACAACTACACAATTAAAGTTAGATGTCAGACATGCTGATAAGGGGTATGCAGAATCATATAAAGAAGAAAAAAAAAGCCAGACAGGAGTGAAAAGAAGCCAGTCATAAAGTAAAGTGAGACCACACAACTAATTGAAGGGGAAACCTATCTTCTCCTTCACCATTATAATCCCTTGGATCTGGATTTTTTGGAATGGCTCAGTGGACTAAATCTGAACTGATTTTTCTTCTTTGAGTGCAGGGAAGAAAATTTAACTAGAGCAGTGACCTGTACCTACAGCATAGACAAAACTACTTTCTGGGGATTTAGGAAAGGGAAACTGTTGACTGTGACATTTGCAGACAGATGGAACTCTCTGTAAGACTTTAACACTGCCAGTTTCCCTCTAAGTGGCTACCTAAGTATGATCTGCTTTAAACTGCTTCCAGGAGGACAGCCATGTTATTATTGAGCACACTGCCCTGCATCAGGACCAAGGGCTCATCTTATCATCGCCAAATAAGCTGAAGATGGATAGAACTTCAAAAATAAGAGGTATTTCTGGGCTCCCTCTTTAGAGGAGACCTATGAGATGTTACACTCTTCATGCTCCAAAAAGTGTGATAGCTTCATGGAAAAGCTGAGCTGCGGCACAATTGCTCTTGCACTATATAAATGTGGGACTCCACAAGTTGTGTATGAAAGCAAAAGTGAGACAGCCGACCCAAATTAAAAATATAGCAGCAACTCAAGAGTTTTCCAAAAAGCATTTCAGGGATGTTCACAGAGAACTTTTCCCAGAAATGCTGACTTATATATCACTGCTCTGAAGGAGCAGTAGTAACTTGCAATAGCATGTTGCTGGCACAATTTTAATATATTCTGATTTTGTAATTATATCCACAGTACATTACATCTTCATTTTGAAAACCCATTATGCCCACTGGAACAGAGAGTCAGGACAAGTGAAGAATAAGATATTAGTGATTTTCCATTATACCTGTAAGTATACTTTGAAACAAAGCACTTGAAAACTTTCACCACTTTCTTACAATAAAATTGAGAATATTTCTACTTTAAACTTGCCAGAAAAAATGGGGGAGAGCAAGTGGTCTCATCAATATCAAAACTTGGAGTGCCCACATTTGCAATATATCTCAGTGCTCATGGCAAGACATGTGGTACCAAGGCACTGACCTATCAAAGCCATAGTTAAGTTTCACAGGTAAAAGAGAATGGAGTTCCTTGTTCCCCACTCTGTCTCTCAAGAGAGGAGGTTATGGGTGGGAGAGAAGTTGGGAGGAGACACAGCTGGGACAGCTGATCCAAGCTGACTGAAGAGGTTATTTCATGCTAACACCACACTCAGCAATAAAAACTCAGGGCTTTGGGGGAAGTAGCCATTGCTTTGATGCTAGCTGAGCATTTTTCTGGTTGTGGGAGGTGATGAGTGCCTTTGCATTTGTTTTTTTCTCCCTTTTTATCTTTCCTTCACTTGTTGAACTGTCTTTATCTTGTCCCGTTAGCTCTTTGCATTTGCTATTGCTTCTGGCTGGCTGGGTGACTTAACTATTGCCTAAGGAGCAGGAGGAGTCTTCCTGGAGACAACAGTAGCTCTCATATCTTTGTCATTGTGTAAAGGATGAAATTTGTCAGGACCATCACATACCCAGAGCTGTCAGTTGCTGAAGTGAATACGACCTTCCAGGTGGCTGGCTGGGTAGGCTATATATCTTCCTTTCAGAAATGAATTTTAGTATATAGTTTCCCTACATCATTGTTAGATTTCTCTTGTTAATTCAAGCTAGTTCAACTGTACTCAAGACACATTCCATTTACACAGCCTCTGGAAACATCTTTGCAACTGGAATATCAGTGCTGATTCTCAGGATGGATTACTGCATGCCCATCATGTTTTTAGTGGTCTCACTTCCCCACAGCCCAGAAGTGGGTGCATCACAGTGCTTCATTTTGACACTTGTAAAATGCCTGCATATGTCAGGAAATGCCCAGCTCAGTACTTGCTTCACATCCTGTTTGTAGAAGACAATCAGCTGTACTAAAAGCCTATCTCAAATCAGCCGGGGAAGGCAATGTTATACGAATTACTATAAAAATCATATGCAACGTGCTAAGATTTTGTTCTGCTGCCTTATTTTCTAATCAAAACAAATCCAAATGTTTTGACGTAGATTTACTGGACATTACATGAAAATTTTGTTAGTATTTTATGGCTAAATTCTCAGCATTAGATTTGATTTCTTTGTGACTTTAATATCACATTGGATCACAGTTCTGTCATGTTTTTTGACCATTGAGCCTGGGGCTTCTGGTCCTCTTCTACTGCAAACTGCAGAGGAAAACCTCATTACACCACTGTTTTTCAGTAAAAAAATACTTTTAACAGAGTCATTAAAAAAGCTGCTTTTATGGAAAAAGCCATCAAACAGTTTATATGTTGTAAAGAAACATAAGTATTACATGGTCTCTGCATGTTCCATATGTAACTATCTGGCTGTTCAAAAGAAAACACACAGGCACCAAAGCTTTTATGTTCAAATTGCTATGTCTTATGAATACTAGAAATAATATGTTTTCTAAAAACCTTCTCACTACAACATTTTGACCCAGCCATGGTGAGCTTTGATACTTTCACTACATCTTAAAATCAGACAAACCTCCTTATTTAAATTGCATTTGGTCACCAGGTCCTGATTCTGGAAAGAACATTAACTTTTATTCTGCTCCATGCCTCTCATTAGACAATTTATCCTTTATCTGTTAGTCATAGGGTTTTTGTAGATTATTTTACCAATAAAAGAGTTTTCCAGATACTCTGTAACAGCCTTGTTTCTGGCATTAAGAACATAATCCTTGAAAAAATTGCTCTGCTATGGAACTGAATTTATGGATTTTGTATGGAAGGAAGAACAAATGCCATAACAATAATAATAATAATAATAATAATAATAATAATAATAATAATAATAATAATAATAATAATAATAGTAATGATGTAAAAATTTGTTGTCCAGTGTTTGAGGAATTCTGGAAACATAAATACTATTTTATATTTGAAAAGTGCAAATATAAGTCAACTTGTCAGCAGAGTGTGCAGGATGTCCAAGTTCTTCATTCACCCCTGGATATGACTTATAACAGTAGGAAAATTACAACCTCCAAACCAGAAGTGAACTTGGATTTGAGCTTAAAATTCTAATTTTCCAATTTTCAGTGTGACTTTGGATAGAAAGCTGTGTGCTGACTGACAGAACCTTGTCCTCTGTGAGTAACAGGCGGCTGATATGCAGCTATGCCTCTTGTTGCTTCCAGTCATTACTAGACCTGATCCATATATCCAACACTCCCTGTTGCAACCAGCTTGAAAAAAATTTACCTGTAGTGATTTCTCTTTGCACACTTTTTGTATCAAATTTTCAATCCTGTTCTGAAACAAATCTTATCCTTTTGAATGTCTTTCAGTGAAACAAATCTTATCCTTTTGAATGTCTTTCAGTGAGATTTTCTTTTCCATGTATGTGTGAATGTCATCAGACAATGAAATACCTTGCCTTCTTCTGTGTGATATCCAGGAATGGTCAATCAGTGTTTGGCTAAGAACTAGTTCATGTTTCAACTAGTTCATGTTCCACCATTAAGTCTGAAACTGCTGCTCTTCAAATTTAATGTTCCACAGTTTAACACAAAATAAAAGTTGTATTTTATTAACATAGTCTTTACAAGGTCTGCTGCTGAAATAGCTGCTTTCTGTGGGAAAAGCTGAGTTGCTCAACATGTTGTCTTTGTCCTTTCAGCTGCATGACTGAAATTGATTTTTCTACTCATGTAGAGCCCTAGGATCAAGACATGTTATTCTGGTAACATTCCATTTCTTCTTGTGCCTGTCACTCTGTACTTTGTGGCAAAGGCCTGTTTCTGCATTCTGAGTAGTTTGAAAACTTAAATATAAATACTTCTACTAAAAAATAGAGGTCACGATAGTCAAAATAGTGCAAGGAAAATGGGAAGATAATTATAGCGAATGTCTGCATAAAACATATGCAAACAATGTAAACATATTCTGCATTCATACAAAAAATTGTTACTATTATTTTAACATTTAACATTAGCATTTGAGACTCCAATTTTTAGCAAAATTAATGTTCACTTGTCCTTTGAAAGAACTTTCATTAACACCCTTTATAACCATTCATTATTTAACATTTGGAACCAGACTAACCTTTGCAAATGTGCTTGTTACTGTGCTAAAATATGGAACTCAAACAGGTAAAGTTTCAGGAACCTGGCAATGAGGACAATGGTGGGAGTTAGAATGGAAAAATTAGCTCTCCTTGAAACCAATGGTATAACAAAAAATGCCAACGAAGACAACTGAGTCTTGAGTTATGGGACACAGAGTTTGGAAGGCAATTCATTCCCTAAACTGACAGAGACATTTTATATGGTTGTAAGTACGTACTGGTGAAGACAACTTGCAAGTCTCTTCACCCTGTCATATTTTATATCAGCAAATATTATATTGGGACATCTCTTAGTCTCAGTTTAATGAAATAGTTTTCCTATAATAAGTGTCTCAAGAGCATACCATCCATTTCATGCTTAACAGCTTTGGAGAATTTGAAGGATTCAGCATTGTTCACTGATCATGGGTTGGAAAATTTCTGGGACAGCAGAAATTTTACAGAAGTATTTCTGTATACCTATCTATAGCTATCTGTTTTCAAGGCTGAAGAGACCTCATCTTATTTTGCTTAAAACTTGTCCAAATCATACACTTTTCACCAAACTTTCTGTTTGTACTATCCATAATGTGCTTCCTTATAGCAACTGTATTGGTATATAAGAAATGGCTACACTAGTCATAATACTAATTTTAAACCCATCATCTTTATTCAGAAACACTTCTTTCATGTGCAATACATTGCAGTTATCAACACTGATACCTGCCTTTTTACTTCCCAATCACTCACTACAACTCTGCAACTCCTTGCAGTCAGTTTTTGACTATCCTGAATAAGTTTATAGCAATCAACAGGAAACTGCCACTTTTCTATTCATCTGCTTGTTCAGGGCATTCAGCAAAACTGAACCCTCAATACAGGAAAATGCATTTGGTAATTGAACACCAAACTATTTTTGGTCAAGAGCATTTATTGTTGAATATACAACTTATTGGAAGTCAGCCGTTTTTGGAATACTGACATACAGTAAGCATCACAGGATATACTCAGATCCTTTCCCTTCCTGGATCTTTTGGACTATGGGAGAACTGGAACAGGGTATGTCTGCTGATTGGGAAATGCACTGAGATTTCTCTTACAGACTTAGATTCTAATTTCATTTCTAATTTGGAATGGCTCCCAGTACTCTCCAAGGCCTGTCTAAATGACTACCAGGTAAGTCTTTAAAATAATAAACCAAATTAGGGATTTAATAGTCTAAGATGTTAACTTTGAAATGACAGCCGTGATTTCTCCTTAGAGGCATTGCATGGGATATTGTTTACATCATAGTGAGATGGAAATTGCTAAGGTAACTTTCTGCATTCCGGGAAGCATTAATGAATACTTAGCCAATTTTTCCTTCAAACTGTGGACAAAACCAATCTTTGATGCAGCCCCATAACCAGATAATGATGATACATACGTGTTTGCAGCTGGAACAGACTGAATATGTGTCATATCTGAGGAAGGCCACAAAGATTTTAGTTCTCAGTGGGATTTTTTCTTTATGCAGCACTCTGACTCCAGAAAAGTGTGGGGTTTTATTCTTTTGCAGGCAAGTCTCTTCTCTCCCTAAGGGATAATTTGCATGCTAAGCAACTCCAAGTCTGGTTGTGCATTCAAGCCAATTTGCATAATCATGTATGCTGTAGGTAAATGTGTCCTCCTGCTCTGAATCTGTTCCACAGAAAGTGAGGATCAGTGACATTTCAAAAGATCAGAACTGCCAAGTTCCCAACTCTCAGTCATGTTATGTATCAAATTGTACATGAAGACAAGGAGCTCAAGGTTTTGTATCTGACACAGTGCTGAATTTGCAAGAGACAAAGATGTTGGTGTTCTTGTTGGATATGTGTGCAGAGGCAGACAGCAGCACTGGCCCCTTTACCATGTTAGAGTTTGCCCTGTGGACTGATAGCAAAGCAGCCAGCTGTGTTGCTCTTGAATGAAACTGGACTAGAAGGTGTGTTTTAGGAGTGAATATAACTGTTGAATATGATTGTTAAGTTGTTTAGAGCTAGTCTGATGTGAAGTGCCTGAAATACATACGGAGCAGATCTTGGCTCTGCGCCAGCTATTTCATTTCACAGATCTGCTTCTCTTATGCTGTACTACTTTTTTATATAGACATAATCCTACTGCTCAAAGGTTTTAAGAAGCTGTTATGAAACTGGTCTATTGTAGTAGTCCCTTTCTGGGTTTTGAAGTAATAGTGAAGAGAACAGAGAGAAGTTAGGTCTGACTTTAACACAAATGAATCAATCTGCTTTCTCAACAAAAGAGACTACTTCTAGGTACATACTATAGATGCGCACTAAACCTCCTCTTTAACACAGGCAAGCATACCGTGGCTACCATTCAAAGTGTCAATGAGTTAAGTTTGAAATATAATGGAAAGTTAGTGAAAATCACACCTCTGTTCAGTAACCCTCTGCATTGTATCTCTTTCCTCTCTTTTCATTCCTTTTATTATTATTTACTTTCTGAAATACATTCAAAATGTATTTTCCAGTTTAGCCTGGACGGAATGTGTGATGAGTTTGGTAGTTGGCTCAGCCATGTGTTTCCTCTATGGATTGATCGTTCATCTGTGAAATGAGAATATTACTTTATAAAGGTGTCTTGAAGATAAATTTAGTTAATTTATCGTGAAGCTTTCATGTAGAGCCCCTGGCTAAATTGTTCCACTCATCTTCTGCCTCTCTAGATTTGCTTTTTCTATCAGGTTTCCCTCTGTGAATATTAAATAGATGCCTTTTCTCTTTCTCATAGTGTAGCTTACCCCCAATTCAAATAATGTAAACCATTATTTATCTTGTTTATTCATTTGTCAGATGGCCTTACCTATCTTGTACTATCTTGTACTTTCCTTCTATGTGTACATTGTTCTAGTAAGTTTCTGTTGTCTCTGCTGTCTGCTTGAGTTTCTTTTGTGAAATGACGTATCCGACACATCTGACATGTTGTCCTTGATTGATCAATTAATTTGAGGACTCGAGGTCATAATATAATGTGTTAAGGTCTGGATTTTCGATCTGAGATCCTGTCTATCCAATCTATCCAAGATTTTTATTTTTTTTTCCCCCTGAATGCTTCATGGCCTTCAAAATACACAGGTACAGACTTTTTCTAGTCTCACTTTTTACTGGCCTCATTGATCCATTTAGAGTCTACTTTGCAGACAGCTGAATCTGCAAAATTGGAAGTACAGCAAACTATCTGGAGCTCGTTTTGCCACCAGAGAAATCACAAAGTGCTATTGTGCCTCCTGTCAGTTTGGCAGCTTTAAATCTGCATTCAGACTATTTTAGGGCTGACACCAGTATTTGCTAGCTTGCCTCCCTTCAACAGCATGAAATAAACTGCAGATTCTCTTTGTGGAAAACAAAAGCAAAAGAACACCACAAGCTCTTTCTGTAGGAAGATTCTGTGCAACCAACAGGAAAGTAACAAGAGAAGAACAAGGTGGAGAATGAAGCAATCCCAAACAGATAATTTAGCACACTTATTGGAGTGCTGGTATACCAGGACACTCTGTCAAAAGAGGTCTGTAGAGTCTGAGGATAGAATAAAAATAACTTCTTTCCCTTCATATGAGCAGCAGAAATAAAACCAGTTCTTCCTGTATTTAATGTTTAAGACCCCTCTCAATGTTTACTAAGTAACTTAATTTTACTTTTCACACCTATTTTTAAGCACCTATTAAGTCGCACTTAGTCCCTTGGGATTAACAAGGTATGTTGCAAATAAGCAAGACCAATAGGATGCAAAATTAATCATTGTGGGTTTTTAGCCTCATACTCTCATGTCAAGTTAAATGCTCCTAGATTCATTTTTTGTTCTCTAGAAATAAGAAAATTTGAAAAGAAAAATAAGAAAAATTTAAGGAAAAATGCCATTTTTGTTCCAACATCCTGAAAACTGAAAGCTTCATTTTCCAGATGTGCTTTCTGTTAGCCTGGGACATCTTGCAGGGCATTGGTGACTGCTGGAAGGAACTCAGTTCTCCAAGGGTGTCCACATTCTGGGCTGATAAAGTCAAGAACACACAGTGGAGAATGACAAGAGGGAGTCTTTCAATGAATGTCCCCCTCCTCATTGCTTTTGTCTTTTTTTATATGTCACTGGTAAAATTTGCCTTATTCATGTGTTTGTTTGTGCCTTGTTTATCTCCTAGTTGCCTCAATAAATCTTGTTCTCCTAAATTTATATTTTCTTTGTCAACCTTCTGGTTAGCCAGCCTGAACTTCTTATGTGAGTTCTCAGACCAACCCTCTGTCCAACTTGTATTTTTGGAAGATACTCTATAAGGCTTTAGAGCAAGGAACAAACCCTGTATGATTCCGCCTTTTATTCTAGGCTGAGATGAACCTGTCCAGAAGCTCTTAATTTAGAGGCAGGTTGCATATTAAAGGGAGAGCTCAAGACCTATCTAAATGCTAAAATAAAAGGAGTGGCAAAGGAGGGAGAAAAGCTTCTCCCAACTGCTTGTGTGCCTCATTTCCTGAAGAAGTGTGGACTCAGATGTGAAGGTGAGGGAGCTCTGACAACTCCAGTGGCCCTGGCTCCAAATTTAGTCATCATCCATCTCAGACGTGAGTGAGCATGACAGGCAGTTTGTGGGGGAAGAAAGGAGTGGGTTTTGAAATAAGCTGTTGCAAAGCTGCCTCCAGATCTAACCAGACTCGGATCACATTCCAGAAGAGATCTCCTGATGTGCTGGACTCAGCACATGTTAAGCCTTTAGTAAGCTTTTCAGAAAACTGTTTGCTTCTTCTGCTGTTGGGAAGCCAAACTGCTAAATATCAGAATATTTATATACTCTGCTAAATACCATAAAAGATGAGCACCTGCAAACAGAGCAGCGTGTATGTGTGTGTTATCCTTCATCTTCTAAAGGGAAATGAAGACTTTGGAAGAAAAAGCATTACTTTGTGAAAATTTTCTCGCTACACAGCCATCATTTTCATTTGTGTGATCATACAGACGCCTCTTGCACATGTGTACCTCTCTCTTACACATTTTAAGAGGTTCAGAAAATACTTGGTGGCTACTGGGACTGTGGAAAAATCACAGTCTGAGTAAAAATCTCTAAATGGGTTGGAATTGAAATCATGAGATGCTAGTTCTCCATTTGTGATGTCCAGCTACGCAGAGCACATAACTTATGTTGCATAAATTAACTAGGGAAGAAAACCAATGGCATCATACCAAAAAGGATTATGTTGAAAATATATTTATGTTCTGTAACCTGATATGCAAACATAACAAAATGCTAATTGCAAAGGACTATTCAAAAACATAATTGTTTTGCTTTTTTTTTTTATTGTATTGTTTTGTTTTGGTGGTGGTGTTTTTGTTTTATTTAACTCCAGCTAATCATGCTATAACAACAATAAGCTTTACTTCCAGAAGACTACTAGATGGGGGCTCTGAAATAGAATAGCCTTTGTCTAGTAGAATTGAAGTTTGTTACAGCTCTCATCTAGTACAACTGATTGAGAAAATGGCCATGCTAAGAGAACTCAGCTGTAATAATTTGTTTTGTATATTCTAAATTGTCTTGTGCTTTTCTAGTATTAAATCAGAAATTTAAAATAGATTTCTTAAGTATATGAAAGCACAAAAATATTGCTGGGCTAGCCAGGAAGAAATTATATTCTGAGAGCATGCTTGCTTTCTATATAGGACAAATTTTTATATAAACTCTCCTCTAGAGTGTGAAATATGACCAGTTTTCCTAAAGAGATGGAAAGGTAGAAATAAAAGAATGGAATAAAGCAAATAATATTGTGCATTGATTACCTTGTGCTTACTTCTGTTTTCAGCCATGCTCAGACTGTAAAAGTCATAAACAGATACTTGAAAAATCCCACTGTTACATATGAAAACAAAACAAAGAGCTCTTTCCCTTAAAGTATTTTCAAATAAAGTTTAAAAGCAATAGGGTTTTTCTGTATTGACATTATGAGTTTTGTTTTCAAAGCTGAGTCCCAAAAGAATTGTGAACCTCTCACAGTAGCTTACCTTCCATAAAGCTTTAAATGTTTTTTTCTCAGGCATATACTTTCTACTGGCAACTTCTTGTGGTTTAGCAGAGGCACAGTCAAGCATCTGTGAAGCTTTTTGGTTTTTCTTAGCCAAGCTTTTAAAGACATAAAGAATTACTCTGTTCCACTGCTTATATATCTGCCTTCTGGAAGAACCATGCCTCTTAAATGTCTACTGTTTTCTCCTTTATCCCATTGTTTCCTAAGAGAAAGATGACATCTATCATGAGTAAATTTCAGTCTTCATAAAGGATACTTCAGATCTACAAAGATTCTGTGCCAAAACAACGTTACATGAAAAAGTAAAATGGGTATAGATACCTATAGCAAAGATCCACATACAAAAACTAGGACAGTTTAAATGGTTTTGTTTGTCAATAATATATTTAGTCCTCAGTATTTTCCTCTTAGGACACTGGATATTTTTTTCGAAGTGCATCTCCTATTTCTTCTCACTGCTTTGCACTCCTAGTTTCTCCTGGGATGGACTAGTATATCAGGAGGAACAAAGACACATTGATTATCCCTCCGCTGGGAAAATTTAGTAATGCACACATGCAAATAGTTTTACGTAATCTTAGTTGAAGTCCTTTGTTTCAAGCTTTTTGTTTCCAAGCCCTTTTGTTTTTGGAATAAGACCAAGCCTCACCCATTAAAAAAATTCATTAAAGCCTGCTGAAGTTTTGAACAAAAAAGATAATGTTTGTTTCTGCTACAATCTCGTGTGATTAACTGAGCTCCCTCATTATTACCTGCACAGCATGTGTAGGCATTATTCTTGATTGCCACCTAAAAGCTATGTACTATTGCTGACATACAAATCTGTTTTTTACACTCACATTATTTCCTGTTGGATCAAATGACACACACAGAAGTCCAAGATTGCACTATGGATATTTGCTGTAAGCAAAATCTTCTTTTAGAATTGTAGTTGGGAGGACTTATCTTCTCTTTACTCACCAGTCACTCAGTTTCACCTGTACATAAATTAGAAAGAAAATGTGTGTTAAACCAGAAATTGAGAAATTTTGTCTGTGCTAAAGGAAACATAACAGAGATATATTTCCAGAGATAGCTAATTTTCTTCAATGTTAAAGTCAAAGCTACACAGAAGGATAGTCTTTCAGGTAAGACATGCTGCATCAATAAAATATCTAATGCAGAATAAACAATTCAGAAAGAATGGACCATGTTTAATCATTCCTGATTGTGGATGACACAACAAATTCCATGTAGATAATTAGAGAACATATTATTTGATTATTTATAGTAATATGGGTTACTGTGGAGAGATAACATTTGGAGTATATTTTCATAGCTAATTATTCTATGTTTCTTTTTCAATATACTTGAACTCCTACTGACATATGAATTTCTAGTATCGTTATTTTTTGGAGAGGGCTCAAGAAGTAGAATATAAATTTTATAGTAAAATTTGTTTCTGTGGTTTACAGATCAAAGAGCTTTGGTAAATAGCTGAAGGTTCTTGCTGTTGTTTATTGAGGTTTATATTCTGCAACCTAGCATACTATAGCCTTAAAAATGTCCACAAAGGCCAATCTCCCATAGAGTTGCATCAAAATTATTGCCTTGGAACCACGGTTGCTTTTACACCATGGCTGTCATGTTAGGTATCTTCCCTTCTCTCAAGTCCCCATCAATTTCCCATCTTGCAATTCTTGTGGGTGTTTTAATTACAAGGTGATATTAATTTTTGTTAATACTTTCTGCATTGGATATCTGAATAAGACATTATTTCAAGTCTTATAGGGAAAATTAAATAAATAAAATACTGCCTTCAGTTTTAAGGTGCCACCTCATCTGAAAATTTTGCTTGGGAATATAGAATATGTTCAAAAGAAATGCTAGCATTCTTCCTAGGTTGAACAACAGAAACACAATAGTTTATAAAAAAGGTTTCAAAAAAGAATAAGTTAACTTGTAAATGTTTCTGCAAATAGTTCATCATCAATTTTCTTGGTCGAGTAGTTCCTGCATTCAATCCACACTTATGAACAAAGCCACTCCAGCAAATATGCCTTTTTAAGTGCATGGAGAATCAAGAAACAAAAATCCTTTGTTTCTCACCTTTGCACCTCCTTTATACCACTAATTGTTCTTTAACGGGAGCTTCCTTCAATTTTCTTTGGTAACTAGTGTGAAAGGCTGTCTGACCAAAGTGGTCTCTAATTTTAATGGAAGAAGAGTGGTTTGTAGTAAGATTAAAAAAAAAAAAAAAATTAAACACTTTCAAGTCACTAGCTCTTCCACTGTATGGGATCCGTATTTGTCTCTGGTGAACGTCAGTCATTCCCACTAAACCTTTATTTGACATCTGTCAATGCCACTGAAAAAACCTGCCATCTTATCTGAACAGTCTGTTTTTCTCTTTTTCCCAAGGCTGGCTAAAAGTTGAAATGATACGCTGTCCTAGGCTGAAAACTTGTAATGTTTTGTGTGTTCATTATTCTTAGGTGGGTCATTTTCTTCTAAATTCATTCAAATGTTTCTTGAGTTATATTTTTTAAAATAATTGTCTTCCAAAATTACTCTTTAGGCTCAGTTATGATATGCACAGTAAAACTTCAAGCTGCTGACACTGAAAAAGGCAAACCAAGCTTAAGCTCCCTCTCCAAGCCACATGCTGAGTTACAGCCCTCCAAGGAGCTTGCAGACATTGTTATCGCTCCTCAGCTCAGATTTTTCAATGTAACACAGTGAAGGATTTTACACCACTTTTGCAGTGTTCTATATGAGACCAAAGACTTAAAGGAATCTTACATAGCAGGCTGCTGGGCTGATGAGATTAGCTTGAGCTTTGTCATTCCAGATTTGGTTTGCACAGTTCATGGCCATACTTTATGTTCTATTGATAAAACATATGTTTTTTTTGTTCTACATCATCATCATGCACTTAAATATTGAGACATTATTGAATGCTTTCAGGTCTGCCCTCAGTTGGCCCATCAAACTGAAAGTCTGATAGCATAATGACTCAAAACATTAGTATATGCATCTTAATGCAGTTTAAAATGTCCGTGGTAAAATACAGCGAAAGGGATTATGTATTCAAACCCTTCTGGGCCCCTTTTGGGCCTGTGCAGGCCCGCAGGCAGTGGAGCCGTGGCAGCTGGGGCTCCTTCCAGGGTGCCTCTGCCCAGCCCAGAGCCTTCACCCGCAGCTGGCACTCGAGCTTTTTCAGCTCTTTTCCTTCTTTCTCATTTTCTAACTGCGCCATTAGATGTGCACACACAAAGCGTGGCGTGTAAAGTACCCACCGGCCTTGTCAGAGAGCTGCTGTCTCTCAGAGAGACACAGAGCTGTGAGGAGAGAGCAGTAAAATGGAGGAGTGAGCTGAATGAAAAAGGGCGAGCTTCGTCTCTCCCGGCTGCAGAGAGCTGCTGCTCCCTGCTCTGGTGCCGGGAGCAACTCCTCCCTCTCCTCCTCCACCTTCTGTGGCTGTGGGGCTGTTTCTAACACCTTCCTCCCCGCCATCCATCTCTCCCAGGCAGTGTTTTGCCCCGTGTTTAGCTGCGTTTTCCAGTGGTTTCCATCTCAGCCGTGTCCTGCGCTGTGTCCCTTGGAGCCAGCTGGAAGGGCTGCAGGCAGCCTGGGGCAGCCCTGGCTTCCCTCACAGAGGCTGCCCCTGCAGTCCCGGTGTCTGGGCACCTGTGCCCGGGACAAAAAAAAGGACAATAAACTGAATAACCAAGAGGCCGTCAGTGTGAACTGTAAGTAAAATGAAAGAAAAACCCAGTTTGTTCTGTTTCAGCTAAGAGGCCCTTGAGTCTTTCGGTGCTGTTGTTCTGCTCACATTGTGATTAAAACCCCTCTAAACTAAAGGATGTAGTTCTGACCCTAAAAGCTCTACAGAAAATGTGCTTTGTAATGCTAAGGACCCTTTCAAGCACTGCAAGATCTCTCCTTCCCCTCTGTACAGGAATGTTTACGGTCTTTTTATAGCCATGGATCCTACACACCCAAATCCAGGATCTTGCACAGAGCTATTTGTTTCCTTTTGTCTGAAATGAGGGCTGAACCACACATGGAATAATATCATCTTCTCTTCAGGAATATAGGGCTTTTTTTTTAAAAAAAAACATTATAATTTTATTTTTTTATTTATTTTTTTCCCCCCCAAACATTGATACCTGACTATTTAGCAGATCCTATTTAGTTTGCTCCTCCAGCAGCTCTGGATCAAGGGCAGCAAATGAATCACATATCCAGGCAATCTACAATGTTAAGCTTAGAAAGGTTTAAGAAAAGACAAAATCCTATTCCTATAACTATGCCCAAAGTACTCACATAGTGTGCTTATTGGTGCAGAACTGATTGCAAGAAATGTGAAATGCACTTAACAGTGGCTGGCACTGTTGTATCATTCTTGTATTTTTAAATCATCATTCCTGATGCTGTAATATTTAGGGATGGGTGAGTTGGTTAAGACCACATAAGCATCTAACCTAAACATTTGAGGTTTGAAATAGTTTGGTTAGCTTCCCAGCTCTGCTCCCAGTTTTCATACTTTGTCCTGTTGGGACAAATCCAGAAAGGGAAATATCAAAATACCATGAGAGAGGCTGTTCTCTGAAATTTGGTGGACAATGCACACCTTGTTCCATGGCTCTGCCTGATTTTTCTAGTGTGCAGCTGTTTGAACTTAGAGATGAGGCTTTACTTAGAAAATATTTCTGAAATTGCAAATAGCAAAATATATATATACATGTATGTATACATTGAAGTAGGCGTGATATTGATTATTATAGAAAAAATCCAGAATTGAAAACTAGAGAGAATGAAAGTTTTTACTCAGAATGCAAATATATCCATGTCAGAGGAAAACACTTGATACACCAGGACAAGTAATGCCATTCTTCAAAACAAAACTCTTTTTATTAAAGACATATGTTGGAAAATTAAAACATTTTCTTCACTAATTAGGGGAACTGGATAACTGATAAAACAAACTAAGATGACTTAGAGAGCGTTTAAGATGACTTAAAGAGTGTTTTCCAATAATTGCCAATTAAAAAAACCCCTCTAAATTAGTATTGAAACAAAGAGAATTCTCAGAAGAATTTCTTATTTTATAGGTTAGAGAGCAGAACATGTCTGAAGTATCTTGCTTAGTCCTGGATTTGGAATAAGTAAGTAAGAATAAACACTACTCCTATTTGAGTACTTTATCATGAAACATCTTTTTTCTTTTTATCTTTGTGTCTCTATCTCTGTATAAATATTACATGAGAATATGGAGAACATCAACTGCTCAATAAAGTTTTATATAATTTTAAAGAATAAGTGATGAACTTATCACAGTTTTGGTTCAATTGGAACATGAGGTTTGTTGATGCTTTTCTTATTTTTTCTTTTCTCTTTGGTAGAAGTGGTTTTCCACTGTGCTAGTAAAAGGATCAATGAACTCCTGCTTTAGGACAGATGTTATCTTAAACCAAATGAATCCCTTTCTTCAGGACTTTGATACATTTTGGGCTTTTACTGATCAGAAAGTCCCTAGATCTCCTGGTGAAGCTGTGTATCTTTATAACCCTGATTATGTGTGTGATATTACTTTTAGTCAACTAAGTTGAGTATAACAAAAATTTTGTGCAACTCCTGTAATATCTACATCTCAGATCAACCATGTGCAGCTTCCTAAGAGGGAGGTGAAGGTGAGACCTTGTAGGATCTAACACCACTCTCCTTCACTTAGAACAAGACGTTCCCAGTGCATTAAAGAGAGGTGACTCACACTTGTCACTTGCGTGTCCTTATTTATAGGCTTGTTGATTTACTTAGAAATGTGCTTTTATTTGTTCTAAAATATATGTCTTGCTTTGCTAGAGAGGACACACATTTATAAAAAACACACCTTGTGTGTGGATGAATGGTTTGGTCTGGTCCTCAGTTGTGTAATTAAAATTATTGTAGCTATTGCTACTCCATAGCAATGCAGGATGGTGACTTAATACACACTTCAGCTCCCCAGAGAACAAAGTAGGAGCTGGGAGTGCATCTTCAAGTGGAGTGATGAATGGGAAAGGGAAAATGAAGAAGATGAGCAATGCACTGCAAACAAGCACCCTTGCCTTCCATATACCTCAGGACAGAGAAGTGTTTTTAAAAGTCTGAGGCCTAAGAACTGAAAAGCATTCTCTTGCTTCCACTGAAAATTTAAAGCAGAACTGAGAAATCCTGATGCTATTTTTATTATGGTCCAAGGCTGATATTTGCTAACCACACTTGTCTAAAATTAGGCATCTAAATGCATGAATAAGTAAAAGATTTAGAATGAACTGGGAAGTACTCATCGCTTTCAAGAGTCAGTCCTTTTGGAAAAAACATAGATGGAAGATGTTGATACTCAGCATGTAAAAAAAAAAAAAAGTAATTCAGAACAGGTCTAACTTGGTTCCAAATTTCATCCTTGTTTTTTTATTCTGTCTTCAGGAATCTTCTGTCTTAGAGGTGGAGATGGCTATGATTGCTTTCTGCTTTTTTTCATGAGTCTACTTTCATAATTAAGAACTCGTTATGTCTGGACACTTTGTTTGTGATTTCTAGTCGCTCTGTAACTAAATATGCAGCTGGAGGCGAATGCCAAAATGCAAAATGTCTTAGTACTTGTTTAGATTTTCTTTTCCTTTTATCTGTTCTTTCTATCTCCGTCTTCTTTACTAAAACTTACAAATCCTTATATCAATTCGTGTGCCAAGGGTTATCCTTGTTCCTGTTCGACAGCAACGCATTCGATCTGAACACATTTGATCTAAAGTCACTGCTCAGTTCATGAAAAAGCTTGTTGTTTGCTGTGAAAAATAAATAAATATTGAGGCTGTGGTTATAGGATTTTCATTACTTTCTGGGGGTACATATTGGGAACAGATGTGAATGGGCAGTCAGCCAGGTCTTGTCATTCAAGACATGGCGCATGGGCACTTTTTGGTATAAAGTCTTTTAAATGTCAGATCATTCTGGCAGCAAACCAGGTTGACTCATACTACAAAATGACTTTTTTAAAAGACTCTTCTCCATTACAAAACTATACTGTTGTTGTGTGTTAATTCTGACAGGCACCACACAGCCACTTGCTCACTCCCCCCACCTCTGCAGTAGGGTGAGGGAAGAGGAAAGGAAGAACAAAAGCAAGAAAACTCAAGGGTCAGGATAAAAATTGTTATCTAAAGGAGCAGTGGAAGAGAAAAAAAAGAAAACAGGCGATACAAATGTAATCATACATCAATTCCTGTGTTTAGACTCTTACCCAGTCAGTTCCCCAATGAAATATGGCTCACCTACCAAAATTCAACTCCTCTCCATTTTATTGCTGAACATAATGTCAGTTGTGGTCAGCTGTCCTGGCTGTGTCCCCTCCCAGCCTCTTGGGCAACCCCAGCCTACTTGCAGGTGTGGCAGTCTGAGAAACAGAGAAAGCCTCAACACTGTTCAAACAAAGCTGAAACACTGGTTTTGATCACAAATTCAAAATGCAACAGCATATAAGTGAGTATGAAGAAATTAACTTCATCCTAGAAATACTCAGGACAGTTGTTTTGTACATCTTTACAAATTGTAAATGCTTCCTTTGCTATTTACTTGAGAAATGGCATATAAGAACATTTCAGGCCTCAACACTTTTTGTGTTATTTCTAATCTTGGCTGATTATAAAGACTATTATTTTCACTTTTCTACCCTAGGGTACAATTCTGTGAAGATTATAAATTTCTTGCTGATTTCCTGATACATATTTTTTTCAGAGGAGTTGTTTACTGTTACTGAAATAAAAAGATTCAACATATAATACTACCTAACATTGCCTCATTAATGAGGGTTCAGAGAGGTCTCTCAGGCAGTGGAGTGCAACCAAGGCTTAATAATGGGTTCCCACAGTGAATATATCATTAATCAAGACAAGTTATCTGTGGTTTATGTGCCACAGGAAAGATAGATAGATTGAAAAAAAAAAAAAAAAAAAAGAAAAGTTCCCTGGTGTTTTCTATTAATTTTCATAAAAATTGATTAACTAACTCATTGCAGTTGGTATGAGAGAATTTTGAAAAAACATGTCTTGCTGGAAACTTTAATTCTTCATTTCCAAAATGGTCTACCCTGTAACTTCTTATTGAAAAAACAGTTCGGCATTCAACATCTTTTGTTACAAAACAGCATGTGATATCCCAAAATGCAATATTGAAATACATTCTAAGACTGCTTTGGGTTGATGGGTTCCTGCTCTTTGCATTTCTATGTGATTGTAGTATTCATCCACATATGATATTTCTATCTTAAATTCTGGTAGTAAAATTCACTTCACAAAAAACCCAACCCAACCCAAAAAACCAAACAAATAATACCCCAGACAAATAAGGACATCTCTAAATCCCTGCTTTTGTGCTTTACACATGACCTTGTTCTCGTTTTAGATGTTGCAAACATATTTTGGTTATGGTGCATCACAACATGTGTCAGCATCACTGCTTAATTTTGATATTGTTGTCTTTACCATTTACTTTGTAGTACTCCACATTTAAACATATGTTCCATTCATTTTTGTGAGCACTTGCATTATCACTCTAAGTTTCCTTAACTGTTCTCTTTCATTGTGATTGTGTGTGAATTGTTTTGATGATTGTGTGTATGATGTCAGCCTCTCTACGATTGTACTCAGAGTAAGGAAAATCAGTCCCAAGATCTTCAAGTTTGTTTAATTTCAACTACTTTTAAGTAAGACTTTCAAGAATTTGATTTCCAATTAGTCATTAAGTTAATGTCAGTCCTTCTGGCAAACCTTCTCATAAACCTCCTCAAGCATATTTTTTTGAGTTCTATCTGACCTATTTTTTCTCGTCTGGAGGGAAGAGACTGACTTTTCACTTAATTTGTCCCTATTTAACCACAATTTAAAAAAAAAAAATGATGCATTCTTAGTGTTCCTTTGGGTCTGCTTAATAATTGCCCAACTGTTTCCTTGGTATTGGATTGCTTTTTCTTAAATAAGTGATGAAAAGGGAGGTATTTTCAGTATGCTCTTTATTTTTCTACCCTCACTTGTTTCCTATCCAAGTCACTGTGCATAGTTAGTGATGTAATTGTCTGCCAGGCTTTAACTTTTTATGCTTTCTTAGCCCTAAGCTGTTTTTCCTTCTACTGTCACCCTTCCTTGAGCTACATATTGAACATTTAAAGAGAGAGATGTCTCCCTCTCTTTTCCTCACATTAGGACTTAGTCCATCTGCCATCAATTGCAGTTGGGGTTTCTTGACTCAAAGTGCTGTAGGAGTGATGAGGTTAATGGCAATTGGGCAATGAGAAGATAGCTTTAGCCAAGCATGACATTATAAACATTCAAATTCCCCTTATGTAGTGTTATGAACAAGCACTAATACATACCAAACTTGTTTAAATGAGTTTATCAACTGGAAAAACTTCGCAGTTGACGAATCATCAGTGTTTGTTTCAGTGCTACTGTGCCAGGGTGCTTGCACAGCTAGGCCTCTCCTCCCTCACGTTGCATGTAGCCTCCCATTTATACTCAAGAACCTCAAGATACTTCCTTCAGTGTGGATTCATGGAAGTGGAACTCTTCAGCTAGAAGTTCATCTTGTTTACATGGCAGTCTGCAGCCTGGATGCCAGCCAAACTTGTACTTCAAACAAAAAGTTGCCTTAAAAATGCTGCCTGCAAAAGAGGTTTGCTGGAAATGACAAAAATAAATTCCAGGGCCTACTTCATTACCTAATTCACAGCACCTATTTGCATGCAAATTTATATGGAAGAACACAAAACTTACAATAGGCATTTTGCCTTAGTATTAGGGAAGAAAGAGACAAAATCTTGCTAGCTGCTTGAGTACAGATACTTTCTTTAAAAGAAATGAAAAATGACATGAAAAATGAAATGAAAAAATTAAAATAAATGAAAAAGCTTTAAAAGCTTGATGACAAGCTGAGGAGATTTTACATGTCATACAGTGAAGTGATAGTTTTCTCTGTGTGTTGATACCAGTGTGATGATGCTACCAGGTAGTACAAGTGTACTAGAATAACTATTTTTGTCATACAAATTAAACAGGAGATAAAATGTATGAAAAACTTTTTCAGTAGAAACAAAGCATTTGTAGCAAAGCAAGCCCTTCACCTGAAGGAC